ATAAATTTCTGCAATATTTCTTTTGAAGCTGATGGTAGAACTTCCAAAGCTGCGGTAGAGATGGATCAGACTTTACAAAAAAAAGAAGAGAAAGAAGAAAAAGAGACACATTTGTACTCCTTCCTTAGCGCTGTAGCATTTTGTGCTGGTATCAAACAGCGTAGGGTAAATGCTCTTTTACTGTGGCCCTGAACACAAAGCCGTTGTTTCCTCACAGTTCTTCTCATGTCTGTGTGAGAGTTGAAAGTTTCTCTGATGTGTCTGGATCAAGCATCAGAAGCCCACCCGCATTCAGTACAGAACACAAGAGTACACTGCAAAAATGAATATGAAAAATAAAATAATACTTACAATTAATTTGAAGTTTTCTGGTGGAGAATCAGTGTCAATCAGTCTCACAATACGGCATTAAGCTTGTACATTTTCATGCTGAGAAGTAAGTTACTAGCCAGGCTGGTGCCACCTAGTGCCTCCGCTCAGTTTCATTTCTCTCCAGCGACTAGGTCTGGAATCAGAATACACTAGAACAGGGGTGTCAAACTCATTTTGGTCCCGGGGCCGTATCCAACCTACTTTGATCCCAAAGGGGCCGGATCAGAAAACTCATGGCATATAAACCCCAAAAATAACAATAAGTTCAAATATTTGTGCAGAGGAATGCAAATCTATTACAGAAATCTTTTTTAATTGATGAACTCTTTCTTATTATAATATTATAATATTATGAACAACCTGAAACTTTAAGAAAAATTCAATTTCAACATTTAAAATATTTTTGTAGAAAATCACCCAAGGGCCACATTAAAGGTCTTGGAGGGCCGGATCTGGCCCCCGGGCCTTATGTTTGACACCTGTGCACTACAAGGTTTGCAAGAACCCCGCAAGTGCGAGTCCGGGCACCAGCCAATCAGCAAAAAGCCATATGTTCTGTGATGGCAACGATTCCCAAGATCAAAGATTTAAAGCTGAAATAAAGAGAATGTTTGGTGAATTTTATCAAGGGGAAAGATGTTATTGCCCTTCTTGCTATGGGATTTGGGAAAAGCTTAATATACCAGTTAGCCCCGTTAGAGGTGCATTACATACATCACGACCAAATAGCAGCAATTGTTTAAATTTTAAAAAAGTACAGTAGAGCAAACAAATCCTAATGTTGTAAGGTCAGACGGTTTTCACAAAGTGAAACCAGCTGATGAATCATGGTAAGTTACGCCCATAGACTGTAAATATAAAACTACATAGCTGACCTGCTAGCTCCTATGTTCCAAATAGGAAGTGAACATGGGTGCGCTTCTGGCTCCATCGACTCTGGCTCCAATTCACTTTGCATTGAGAAAACATCACCCTCTTTTTGTAACTGCTGCTGTCAGATTTTAAAATGTTCGTATTAACCCACTCTACAAGATCCCGGTGTTTTTATTTCATTGTTTTCACCATAAATCAATTTTTATTCCTAAAATTTGCCCCCTTAACTGGTATCCTCGATGAGCTTCATTTGACTGGAGCTGAATGCCGACATCACTCTCCCTTTGTCCAGTTCTTGATACACTCTAGTCTATAGTGACACCTCTAGGTCAAGAATGCACATTTTCAGCAATAAAAACACCTGCAATTGAATAAATGCCAAATGTGTTTAATGCCATACTGTGGAACATTCCAGGAAAAGCAATTACCTCTCCATGGAAAGAAGATTGTGTCTGCCAACCCACAGTAAAGTTAGTTAGTGCAAATTTTATCTTGATTCGATCCATGTGTAGTTAAATCAGCTAAAGTTGAGATAAAATGAGCTTCATTCAAGTGATTTAACTTATATTTATATTTAATTAAATTATTGCAGTCTTGTCCCTCCATGTTTGACCTACTGTGTTTACAATTTAGTTTAATTATAATGGTACAGTTTTGGGGTGGGAGTGGCATAGAGGGTTAAGCATTTGTCAATCAACCCGGTCAGCAGTTCCAACCCCGCCCACTGCTGTGTTCTTGAGCATGACTCAGTGGTGTAGGGGCAACAGGTATAATGGTTGCGACTCAAAATAGAAAAGGGACAAGCCATAAGATAGAAGAAAAAAAATAACAATGAACTGTAATTCAAAGTAGGAGATAACAGCTGCCTGTGTTGATCTCATTTTGAGCCCGATGTGGTGATTCACGTCTGCACGTAGGTGTGGCATTACCAGCACAGTCCTTCACACGGCGATGAGAGGAGGACCAGCCCTTCAACCTACTTTTGGCTTTAAAGTACACTTTGCTGACTTTATACCTCAAAATATGGAGACAACTAAGAATCCTGCTGTTTTATTCTGGGGAGCTTTTCTGTAAACCATTTTATAATCGCACTCCCTCATCCAAAACTACTTGAAGGTGCATTTGGTTTTATTATCACATTCATGTCTCTCTCCCCAAAACTACAAAAGTTGGTTCCCACTGCATGATGTCATCTGGTGGTATTCCACGAAGTGCTTTTTATTGTTTTTAAAGGAGACAAATGATGTAAAATGGGCTTTTATGTGCTTTTAACCACGGTGTAATTAGCTTACTCAGAGTTGTATTTCGATTGCGTAATCTGGTATTGTCTTGCATTTGAGGCTCGAAAACTCACAAAATCTCTATCCATCACTTTATTTAATTGAGATTGTTCAAAAAATTCAGACTCCAGGTTGATGTCAGGTGGCACGAAGCCATTTTTCAGCAATTAATAAAAAGTCTTGTTACACTGAAATGCCACGATGAAGAAGATGGGACATTCACTGTTTTAGATTTATATTACAATTTACAGCAAAGTAAACATACAAAATCCTCTTTTATAACCGTTTAGTCTAATAATAAATACTTACTATACATATCCAACACTTTCTTATCATTTTAGTGGCCATTGCCTTCACACTATTCAAGTATAAAGCTTTGAAATGCCTGTTAATATGCATTTAACAGAGTACAGGATTATGGGTTATGTAGTTCATTCTGCCTAACCACGAAGACACATTTCATGGCTTGCAGCTAACAACTGGGTATTCTGCAGCACTTAAAATTGCTCACATTGAGATTTGACATTACAACATCACAACTACCTGCTGTTACATCCTTAATAGCTAATGGTAAAATAAATTGACTAGCATGACTCAAACCTCCCTGACAGTGAAGCCTGATGGGTCTTGAGATGTTGTAGAGCCTGGCGCAGTAAAGCTCAGACACAGAAGCACTGCGCATGGGAGAGCTATTTTTGCCGAGTCAGTGGTGTTTTGGAGCTAGCAGCCGTTGTTACCAGCCAAAAGCAGTTAAACAGGCTTAAATGAGCTGCAATTTGTTTGTTTCTGCTGTAAAGTGGAACCATGTGAAGCAAAGATCTCCCAAAGCCCACTGTTCCCTGGATTCTTTCGGCATAATTGGAAATTTGAATTTTCTAGTTAGCACATTTCAAACATTATTACAAGCTTTGTTTTTCTGATGTGGTCCAGTTTATTTTTTACTTTTCTGGGACAACAGCACAACATAAATACTTTCTTCTTCTTTGTTTTAAAACATAATTATTTGTAAAGCTATGAGTCAGAATGCGGGCTCAACATTACACAGACTTACCAATGTGGAACTGTTTTAATATGGCATACACTTTAACTAGAGACTACCAGCATCAAAAGTGCTTGATCTAGACAAAGACAGAGTTAAGCATCTTGCCTAAAGACACAAAACCAGGGACTGAACCTCCAACTTTCTTTGAGTCTCAGATTAGGGGGGACTCTATCTGAAGTACTGCTGCCCTAGTACAAAGAGGTGAAGAGATTTCGCTTGTGACCTGATTATTATTACACCATATTGCCTTTCTTTGCAGTGTGGAGTCACCATTGTTGAAAATGGAATGACCCAAAGTAAATGTATTTGTCAGACATGCAGAAATGCTTGGTTCTCTGAGCTAAGATGTGATAAGAGTGTGGGGCAGGAGGCTGAGTAAACACTACCATTCCACTGCTGTGAGGAAAGCCTGCACAGCTCTGTCACAAGTCCTGCTTCAGCTGGTCCATAGAGTCTCCAAACACACCTGTTTGATCAGAGAGGACATAATAATAGTAATAATGCATCAGTTTTATATACCACTTTTCTGGACACTCAAGGTGCTTTACAGATCATTATTCATTATCTCCACACTTAGCAATGTAGGTGAAGTGTCTTGCCTATGGACACAACAACAGTTTTTGCAGCTGGCACCCCACTGTGGCACCTGACTTTCGCAGTGGTCTCCCATCAAAGTACTAACCAGGCCCGGCCCTGCTTAGCTTCTGAGTTCTGACAGGATCAGGCTTTGACAACCAGATATGGCCACGAGTAAGGAGTTCCTAAAGTTCATTGGAGTGCAAAAAGGATCTGTTGGCATGGTTAGACATTAGTTTAGACATTCTTGACCAGACATAGTCCAACAGACTAGATGATGTTAAGACATGGCTCTGAATCTAAAATCATTTCGTATACCATAAGAACAAGGCTAGGTAAATACATTCACATCAGTTTGGTTCAGAGCTTTCAAGATATACAATACACTTCATTGTCCCCATAAAAAAAATCCCAAGGACTGCAGATGGAAACTAATTCGTAGCTATATCTTTTATCTCTGAGATGAATGTTTTCCGTGCACTGTCCTTTTTTTAAATAAATAAATAAAATGTGCCCTCTTCTTCCAACAATGCCAATGGGGCATTGCCTGTCAGGAGCAGAGGGGCCCATCTCCAGGTCTTGTTGCTAAGGCTTGATTAGGACAACCTTCTGGAGGATTTTACCTAATGTGCATATTTGGGTCGATTGGGGAAACTGGAGTGCCTGGTGGAAACCCAGGCACTCCAGTTGTTGGGGAGTTGAACCAGAACCTACTTGCTGTGAGGCCAGTGAATGATCCAGTGCCTATCATCCCAACATTCTCTGTCCCTTCTCTCCCCAGCTTGGTTTTGTGTCAGACCTATAGATATTATAAGAACTACTATCCACCGGTTAACCAATAACACAAGAGTCATAAGTTTAGGAAAGACACATTTTATTGGTTAAAACATTTTATCCACAAATACAGTTTGAATCTACAGTATCATGCTGTTACATTGTAACAGTGGATCACAATAAACAGAGTCTTCAGTTCAGTGGAAGAACTCTCCTCCAGACACTTCAGGTATTAGGCACTGCATCAAATAAATTAGTAACATCAACATCTCACTGTGTGCCTTATAGTACATCTCACCAGAATCTCAGTGCAAATGCCATTACAGCTGGAAGATCCATGACAGAACTACAAACACAGACGTACCCAAAATCAAAGCTAACATTACTTAAAGTTCAAATGAAAGAGAAGAAACCCACAAGTAGGACTGGATCAAAAGTTTGTCAAATCTATGGAGAATGTTTGTGAGCTGACTAAATATTAGTCTAGATGTTTAGGCAGTCCTCTACAAACGAACAGGTTTAGTGATGCAGTTAGCTGGATACAGTACTAAAACTATCTTTAAGCAGCAAAACTTACATCATCATTAAAAAGACACTGGTGAAAACAAGAAACAATAACACAGGATGACAGCACGTAAATTCCAAGTCTCTCAGGAAGTAACAGAACATCAGTAAGATTCATCCGAATAAATACGCACTTTGAGATTGCTTTTGTCCGCGCTCACATTTTACTGGTAGTGGCTTCAAGAAATAACAAAATCATATTTATAAACCAATAATATGTTCTCTCTTGGACCATGTAAGCATAAAAAGTTCCAGTTAAAGGATTTTGAGTATCATGTAAACCATGAGTATAATTCATGTAAAAATGTAACTAGATCGCTCCCATAGTAGCCGATTGTCTTTGAGATCAGATAAAAACCTTCAGATGATTGTTGGCATTCTGTATCAAAACATGGTTTAATGTAGAAGCTGTTTAGACATTGTTGAGATATGGTATAATGCCTGTCTTTAACTATAAAAGCTGAAAGAAATGAAGAATTATGCATGTCAGTATGGCACATCATCTGTGGAAAAGATGGCCTCCTAAGATTTATTAATGTTTGTCAGTCAAGTTTGTAGTTTGTTTAATGTGTCATTTTCGTATTTACATAAAGTTCTTTACACAAGAGCAATCTCTAGTGCCACTGTGGCTCAGGGGCTGTTCTGCATACATTTGTGCTTTACATTACATAGATAGGACATATCTTTTTTTATTTTTTATTTTAGGGGACGTTTTTGTCAATAATAACCAATAACCCAAAGTCATCAGTGAAAATGGTTAGTTAACATAAAGATATGAGTAGTAAAGGCATAAGTAAAGACAATGTATTAATGTAGTGTATATGGACAAAACAATATCCAGCGGTAGACGTGACTAGTCTAAGAAGTGTGTAGTCCTCCTGGTTTCCTCTGTTAGTGCCACTAAAGGTAGTTCAGACTTGTACCTTTGACAGTGTTACATACACCTCTGGAGCTCTCTTATGACTGTGTTCACACATCCAGATCGTCAGGTCGGGCCCTGCTCATGCGGCTGCTGGCGCGACTGCAGGGTCTGGGGTCTAGCAGGGAGAGGGGGTGCAGCTCGGGGCCTGGAGGGGGCATTTTCTTGTGCTCCACTGTGTCATCGGGGAAGTCAAAGGCCTGTGCATGTGAGTTGGAGATGGTGCTACCTCCACCAGTTGGCCCCAGCCGGCTCTGCTCAGTGGAGTAGTTTGCCCAGTTCTGTTCATTGGCCTGTTTGTTGTAGTTTCGGACAGAGCCTGTGCCTCGCTCACCTGTGGCCAGCTTGTATCCTGGAGGGGACAGAGGGGCACTTGGGGAGGAACAACCGTTATAGTAGGCGTACTTGGTGGTGGACAGTTCTTTTGGAGAAGTGCTCATGGTCCCACCAGGAAAAAGTGCTGGGGGCAGCTGCTGACCTTTGACACGATCCTTGATTCTTTTAAATAAAACATAGAAGAGCTCGATAACATTGAGCAGAAGAGACACCAGAGATACTACCAGCATAAAGATAATGAAGACGGTCTTCTCTGTGGGCCGGGACAGGAAACAGTCCACTCTGTGAGGACACGGGGAGCGCTCGCACGTGTACACAGCAGACAGGCTGAAGCCATAGATGTACCACTGAATCACCAAGAAACCCACCTCAAACAGAGACTTGAAGAATATGCTCACAATGTATGTCCTCAACAGGGCTCCTTTCATCTTGACTTTTCCATGCTCCTCAATGCCGTATTTCTGCTTTTTCATTTCGATTTTCTTCAGCGGGATGTCCACATCTCCTCCATCGTTCTGCACTACCTTCAGCTCCTCTTCCTTGCGGTTGAGTTTCTGCTCTTTGCGGTGCAGGTAGAAGACGTGAGCCAGGTAAAGCAGCGTTGGCGTGGAGACAAAAATGATCTGTAGCACCCAGAAGCGCACGTGGGAGATGGGGAAGGACTTGTCGTAGCACACATTCTCACAACCGGGCTGCTGCGTGTTGCACTTGAAGGCCGACTGTTCGTCCCCCCAGGCCGACTCCACAGCTGTCCCAAGCACCAGGATCCTGAAGATGAAGAGTACGGACAGCCAGACTTTGCCCCCTGCGGTGGAGTAGGCCTGCACCTTGTCCAGCAGGCGCCCGAGAGCACTCCAGTCACCCATCCTCGCACGGCTCTAGCTCCTGAAAAGAAAGAGCAGATCAAAACCAATTAGAGCTTCAGAAATTACATTATTTTACCTCAAAGATGAGTTCACAATTTTTGTCTACCTAGGCCTGGACTCAAACTGTGATACTGTTCGACTGGTTAATTTGGACCATGAAGTTGTCAGGGTTTAGTCCTGGTTTAGTTTTATGTTCTTTATTTCTTATTTGGGTGACCTTTAAATCTGATTTTGAGTAGAGATACACTGAGCCATCTTTTTCCAAATACCAATACATGGACATCTTTGAGTAAGTTAACCAATACTCAGTATTGACAGAATGTGTTCATAATGAATTATCACTTTGTTCAAGTAAGTATATAATATTATTGAATAAAATATAAAACATATTTGGTCCAATACCTGGATGAATCAAGGGTTAAGAAAATAAACAAAAGTGGGAACATTGTGAAAGATGGTTTTACATGATATGCTGAAGCCCAGTGGGTGGTCTTTAAAGACATCTGTATCTAAACCCACAATTTTTTCAAAACTAGATAGCTACTCTTGAAAAATGACAAAGGCACTTAATGACTCATCATTTGGTTTGGGCACGATGTTTTAGAATTTAAAAACCTACACTACTTTGATAACATTCACCTAGTTATTATATTAGTTACAATAGTTAGTCATGATTTCATAAATGAGCTACACCTAAAACAAATGTGAGGACATCAGTGTTCCTTGATGGATGACTACTGATGGATGGATACTGATGGTTTGCTTCAGTCATAAAGGAAATCCACTCTATAACATGAACCCAACTGCTCATAGTCAGCATTTTGTACTGCAATTTTAAGTATTTCAACAACTATAACTTCAATAACAACATAGTGATTCTGACCTAACACCAAGCCTTATTAAAGGTATGGTGACGCTGTCAAATGTAAAATGCAGCTATCTGAAGGATTAGCAGTACAGCAGAAATCAAGTTGGTCCATGTGCTCTGTCTGCATGTGAAAAGGAACTGGAATTATCCACAAATCTCAAATCTCCAAACAACAGTAAACAATTATGAAATGAGAAAGGTGCTTAGCTCGCCTTGCAGTCAGGCCAAATGTCTAAGCTACAGCAGCATGACGCACTCATTAATACCAAAACACATTATAATCTGTAATACAAGTTCAAAGTACAATTCCCCTGTAAAAAAGAAGAATTCCTATGGTTAAACATATAAATGCAGGCCAAATGAATAAAACGTTCAATGAGGTAAGAGCATTGGGTCTCTCAATAGCAAATAAAATAGATGGCACAGAAGAGTTGTCTTGAATTCATTAGATTTTGCTAGTGTGCTTTAATGGTTAAGTTAATAACGAATAAGTGGGAACCTTCCGTCTAATCCACCAAACAAAGTGCATGTGCTTTTACTTAGCCCACACGAGCCATGCGCCACACATTCTAGACATATATTCAGACAGTGGTCAAATATTGAGAGAAAAAGATTTGTATACAGTAATATAGCCACACAGACAACAGTAAGGCCCGCCACTTTCCACTTGAGCGCCTTAAGACAGAAACTTTGAAGACTCCCCAAGAGAACAATAGAGAGTCTACTTCTGCATTGTTCCAGACCAGTGCTCAGAAATGTTTTCAAAAACAGTAGAAAACATATTATAAACATAAAATATTATTCATCAAGGAAAATAGGCTGATTTAAAATGCAACAGGGAACTTGAACTCAAAGAAAAGTCATCCAAGAAGTTTCAGAAGACAAGAAAGTGACTTGGTTTTGTAAGATTGAAGACATATCCATAACAATATGAAGCAATTAAGGAAGAAATACCAAGCAAATGAAGTAAGAAAGAATAAAAAGGAAAGGAAAAGAAAAGAAAACTACACTCTAAAAAAGGTGAATTGCACAGAAACAGTGTCTGGCTGCTTAAACCCTTTAAAAATCCTGGGTCAAATAGCTCTACATTTAAGAAGTATTTAAACCTTCATGAAACAGTATTGGTTAATTCATTTAGTTTTTACTCCAAACTTATTATATATTGAATGCATTTGTTTAAAGTTCTGAAATTATTAGTTACATTTTCAGCCAGTACATTTAAATAGCCCACTCCCCAGAATAACTTTTCTCAAACTTTAGAAAAAAGTAACAAGTGAAATAAAATCCAATGAAACTTACAGAAAAGTGCTGAGACCTCGTGACTCGCTCTCCACAAACTTCTGACAAACTCAGACGTATCCACAGTTTGTCCCAAGTGAGCGCAGTTTTGAGCAAAGTTTGGCTCCCCCCAATTCCTCACAGCAGTCCCGTTAGTCACCTGACGTTTTGATGACGAGTAGAATCTATGCTCTGAAGACTTGAGAAGGGGTACGCCTATACAGGTTCACCTCAGAAATACTATTAAATACAAACATGAAGAAAACTTGTATTATTTCAGTAACTACAACTCCTATAATGTCGTTAGTACAAGACTGGCCATTAAGAATCTTTGGCTTAGTAGACAACCACTTGTTTTCTATCTTTCCATATATATATATTTTTTTTGCATACTTCTAAAGTCGACAAAGCTTAAATTACACAAAATAATCAGGTTTCAAAGTTTGTGCAGTAAATCAGGACGACGTGTTAGGGTTTCATCATGCGTGAAGTTCTCGTGGATTTGAGCAATTAAGTCCAGTGATCCAGTAGCACCACCTGTTGTTCGAGAGAAGAACTGCAGGTTACAGTTCATCCATTTTTGATATAGTTAAAGGTGCACTGCGCAACCTTTCTCATTAAAATGTGATTTCTTTGTTTAGAATGTTCACAGAAGGGGTTAGCTATTGTATTAGCTATCATATTTTTGAGCAATAGAAACATCCAAAATGAATAAATGTTATATGGATATGTTTTATCACACACTAGGGAACATTCCAGGCAAAGCAATAACATCTCCATGGGGTCAAGTAGGTAGCAAACCTTCCACTAGAAAAGTTGCACATTGCACCTTTAATACTTTCCTTCTGTCATAATATCCATTTAAACCAATGCATTAACAAGTTGGAAAATTCTTTTGCATTTCAGTCCAATTTTGACCTACGTTACATCTACTTAAACCTTAATCCTATAACTCATTAGTAAAAAGCTTGGTATTTCACAAATCAAATTTGGAATTGAAACAAATCTTTATTCAAAGGCAGTTTAACTTACATAAAATAATACTTTTAAAAGATACATTATGTACAAAAACAGGAGGAGAAAAAGAAAATACATTGATATAATTGACAAAATATTTTGTGGGGAACAATTTCTGCAACACCCTGTTGTGCTACCATAGTGAAGTGTAAAATAATCATACATTCCTACAGTGATTGTCCAGGGTTTCATCTAATCTCCCTTTACATTAGCAAGGATGGCATGGATCAGTTTCAGCCTCCAGCCAGTTTGGGTTAAGAGGAAGAAAACACAATACTATTTTTACTCAAAGTCTTTCTTTGGGCCAGGATGTGCTGGGTGACAGGCAGGGGTCAGCAGATGAGGCAAGGGCCAAGTCAAATCCAGTGGAGTGCAGCACACTTTCAGACAAACTGTACAAACATATTTTAATAAAGGCCTGGGGTAATGTCAAAGGTCACATGAAAAAGAGGAAGGTTTTTGTGTGTCACACATTCTTGGAAAAAAAAGGTTTACAAAAAGTCTATTCTATCACAATTTGAAGACAAAAGAGAAAAAAAAAACTAGAAAAACAAAACCAACATTAACAGACCTTATTAATTTTTATATAAACCCATAAAAATAAAATAATTTCTGGAACATAAATCCATAGGTTGCTACTGTATTTCAAAATCCATTGAAGATACACAACCTGCAGTAACTTTCTCTAGGTTAAACAGGTCATACCTGTTTGTTTAATTGTGACCTCAGTGCACAGTCTAAACCATGTTACTTTTTACCTCAAATGCATATTATAATCTTTAAATACATGTTGATATCACAATATTATAATTCACAATATAAGCATTAGCAATTTATGTTTTAGCCATTACATTTTTCATTGTTTCGGTATTCTCATTCAAAAACATTGTTCAGTAGTTTATATTACTACAAATCAGTAAGAAAAAACTATTAGTAATGAAAGCTCAATGCAACTAAATACTTGGATTTGAATCAGAAATAAAATAGCGGAGGATGGAGATCCAGTTTAGTAGTTACTTTGTTACCATGACAACAGTGCAGGAGCTTCCTTCAACACACCTGCTTATTGAACCTAAGCTGACAACCATAAAATCACAGAAGGTCAAGATATTCTGCCACTGAGGTGAAGTGTAGTGTTTCAAACCAACTTTTTCAATTCACCAATATATACTGCTAATGTTGACCTGCAAGCACTAGGAAGATACTGTAATAATCATCACATTTACACCTATTCTCTCACAGTCCCTCATTCGGTTCCAGGTGATAAGATTCTATAATCAGAAGGCAGAGCAGTAAAGTGCGGCTTCAGTGGGAGATGGCTTGACTGGTCCAGGATGCACTTTCTGTATCGGAAGGCTTCGAGAGGCTTTTGTTTTCTGTGTCACCATTCTCAGCTTCGGTCCTGAGGGTCATCTTCTCCAGAGCTAAAAGCCAACACACATTCAGCAAAAATCAACCACTGAACACAAGTAACAAAACAAGGGATAAGTTGTATGGTCAATAAGACTTAATATGGGGGCAGCAAATTTTTTATAATGCAGATTTTTGTTGAACTATAGCAAGTTGTATTCATTAATGGCTATGACAAGTTGAATATTTGTTATATATATTAGGATATTTCATACTAAAATATAATGTGATTGATAAGACATCTTCTGCCCCCCATATTTAAGTATGACATAACAACATTATGGGACCTGAAAACCATCAGTAGAGGTGACACCACATTTGAGATTGTGTCGTTATGAGCAGGAGGAGATAATTTGTTATTCAAAATAACAGTCCCATGTTTGGTTCAGCCCTTGTTCATGCACACTGAAACAGTGCCTCATTCTGTCCGTCCCTCATATAGTGATACTTTGCAGCTGATCTAATCAACTTTCCCTGGGGGTGTGAAGCTAACTGAAGACACTGCTCTGTCTAAGGCTATGTTACTCAAAGACTTCAATCTGACTGTTTAACACAATCTGACCAGAAAGAACCAACTTAGCTGGAACTGCAACAGATGAGCTGATTTGTGCTGTTGCAGGAAGTTCTCTGACACTTAAAATTAGTCACAAGATAGCTAAATTAGCCAACAGTTTTTCAGTTAGTTAATCCATTTTGTACTTGTAACTTTTAAAAAACAATTTTAAAGAGCCATTAAACACCCTCCTGGAGCTTTACTCCACCCCTAACCAAAAGCTGAAAAATCCTCCAGAGTGAGGGGTGCCTGGCAGTTGTGGGGTGGGCTCTGGACCGATGATTGACAGCTGACCGATAGCCATCCAACACGGAGCGGACCTGTGCACTCCAGACGTTAAAACAGAGCGGACATTTGTGCTCGGATCACACCGTTTCCCTTTTCTCCAGACATGGTGGGACATCACAGTGACTAGCAGTGAGGGGAGCTCCTCACATGCTGCCTGTAGACGCCAGTGGCTGTGCTCGTCATGTAATAACCTGCATCTGACTCATTGGCGGCTGTTAGTCGAACCCGAAAATTCAATATACTGGCCGTAGTTGATCCTAAAGAGGCCATTACAGACACGGCTTTGACCCAAAAGTCAGATTTTTAACAAATATGCACCAAAACGCCAAAAATAAGGCCAGGGATATGTATACATTTACACAGCTAGTAAGCAGAAAAACTGATTTTCATGTCAGTGGTAAGTGCTGAAAGTTCCAGTATAGAGATACATGTAGAACACCCCCAGGTGATCTAACTGCAAAGTATCAATACATAGAAATAGCTGTGTGGAAAATAAAGCTGACATATTTATTGCTTGTGAGAAAAAAATGTCTGCACAGAAATTATATACAAGGGAATAATAATAATAACTACTTAGTACGGCAATTCAAACTCATCCTATCCTTTTATTCAGTCCATGTTTCCATAACAAACTGGAGATTTGCCAACCCTTTCACAACAGTGAAACAGATAATGTAGGTGAAGTGTCCTGGCTGAGGTTCACTGGCTGTTCTCAGGTTGGCGAATGAAAACTCCACTCCACTAATCTGCAGTTGGCCCACTTACAACAGTTAGTATACTGATGTTTTATTTTAACAATTCATCGATATTTAAAATGATCATTCCCCCTAATATCATCCTATTTAAAGCATTGCTACCTGTACATAAAGAGGAGGCTGCTTACCTTGCAGAGAAGCAGCACTGTTGCCTTGCTGTGCTCTGTTGCCTTCCTCCAGTTCGTCCAGGTACAGTCTGTAGCGATGACCGTTGTCATCCTCATACTCCACGTTCTCATCATCACTGTCCACCTCTGGAGCCACATACACCACCTCGAACTCAATCTGCCCCCGCTGCAACACACAGGGCAACAAGATAACTCGACTGGTCTCATATCATGCATGTTTGGGGGGTTTAAATACCTTGGACACTTTAGCCCAACTATTTTCAGTAAAACTTTAAATGATGTATGTGTTTTTGCCCCCATCTACCTCAATGCATCTCCAGAGCCTACCTGCTCCTCAATCTTCATCCCTCACTACAAACACCACTGCTCGCCTCACCTCCTCCTGTCCAATCAGTGCCCAGTCTGCCCAATTTAAATCCCACTGCAGGTGCACGGTCGCTTCTGTTTGTCCCGTGCCCCACCTCCTCCCCCTCGGCTTTTCATTCTCTCATCATCCCCTTCACTCTCCTCTCTACCGCCTCCAGTAGCTTCATGGCATCACAATGTCTTCTGCCGGATCTAAGCACCAAAGCTAACTCATTCAATAAAACTACTTGTACTTTCTCTTTGTGTCTGTCTGAGTCTCTACAGATTGAAAAGTATTTACACCCCAATCAGTGCTCCTTTAAAATGGGGGAAGTTCCACATGTGTACAAACCTGCTGTGACAGAATGGTGACTGCTTCCTTGTGTTTGGCGTCTCGCAGGTTGATGCTGTTCACGGCCAAAATGGCGTCCCCCACATGCAGGCCTCCGCAGCGGTCTGCTGGCTGGCCCTGATGAATCTCTGAGATTAGGATAGGCACCCCATGTTCTTTACCGCCCTGGGAAACAAATCAAATAAAATCAAATGAAGAATGAAACCCGAGACATTCTTTGGAAACTTACTGTTATGGAGATGCCCAAGCCTTCATGGTCTTCCTTCATCAGGACCACCTTTCGGATAGGACCCACCCCTTGTGTTTTCTTTAACATGTCTGGATCCTGTCAAGAGTTGTGATCCGGCTCAGTTTGTGTAAGACTATTTTTTGTTATAATAGCTGATATTCGACACTCACATGACCCAGAGGAGAGGGCAAAGGTTTGTTGGGATCATTCCTCCCACGACAGGCTCGGATCACAGTCTTATGTCGGTGCAGGTGGATCTCGGCCTCCAGCTGGTTCCAGAGTTTGTCATGAGCTGGGCCTTTCATGTCCCGGCCTAATAACTGGATCTGCTGCACCCTGGACAAGACCATTATAAAACGTTAAGAGCAAGCACAGGATACAAGCTAATGAAAACCGGTTTTGACTGCATTTATTCTTAGTAGCAGTGGTGCAATATCCAAATATTATTCCAGGTATTACCATTACCTCAGTCACAATATTATCAAAGAGATTATTTTCCTATTTCCTAAGTGTAATTTCTTCATATGTACTGGACTAAAACAGGAAAAGATAATGTTGTCTCTTCATTAATTTACTACCACTAAAATACATTTCACATAGAGTTTACCAGTACTATAAAATGTAATATTGTAAGAGTTTAGTTGGATGGATTTATTTGGAATATTAGATTAATGATTGTTACATCCCTAGTTAGTGAGTCAGTAAATAAGTAGTTCATGATAATACCTGCCAGCCAGTTCCTTGTCGAGATACTTGGCTGCGAGTCTTGCTCCGTAAACTTCAGCCTGCAGCACGGCGATGTGCCTCCGCAGCGCCTCATTCTCCTTCTTAAACAACCTCATCTCAGCCTCCAACTTTGCCTCCATCACGCGCTCCTTCTTCCGGGACTCAGTCTGCTGCACCTGAAAAAAACATACCAATTCATGTTAAGGATGAGTCATAAATCCTGATTCTACATTATCTGGTGTCTAAAATGCTAGATGTTACTGTAGGAATAATTCAACAGATAAAATCAACTATAAAATATAGGTGCATCAACTTTTATGGAGGGCGGTCTGCCACCTGCTTGTCTTTGTGGAGATGTTTATGGTTTATGGCCTTCAGTTATCTTGCTTTTATTTGACCGTGAGTGCTTCTATTGTTTAAAAATACCTTGAGAAACACATTATTACTGACAGCAGGGTTGTCTCTCTACAGAACTGACTTGTAAATTGCCTGGCTGTGTCAAGTGCTTGTCTTCATGAAGACATAAATGTACTTTGGAATTTCAGGCAATGCCATAACATTCCCATTAGTGTGAAAAAATAGTCTCAGATATGGAATTAATCCATAATGTAGTTGGCCTTGGCCTTTAATATGCTCATTGGATTATTTGATTGGTTATCAGTTTAATCATATCTCTCTTTCTGAAAGCCCTTGGATCAACAGTTGAAACAGAGAATGAACTGAACACAATCTGTTTACATTTTTGACAGTATTTATGCTAGATAAAACAGGAATATCTCATCTTGGCTCTGCAGACCAGTTGTAAAAGCAACTTTTTGTGTCTAGAAAGCGCTACATAATAGTTAATTTTTAATTAATTATTGTCTTAACTAATAATTGTTAAAAAGAAGCATAGCCCCAAACACTTGTGTCCTCACCAGTGTGTCTTTGAGAGTCTCTGGCTCCTCTGGCTCCCCCTGTTTGTTGTGCAATTGTAACTGGAGGGAGTGGAGCTGCAGGAGCTGGTCATGCACTTCTCGTTCCAGCGCCTCTTTCTCAGCTTTGGCCTCGGTCAGCTCTGAGCGCAGGTCCACCAACTGGGCCTGGAGGGAAAGGAAAGAGGAGCAGAAACCATCACTTACCATCGCTTACATCATCTTTAACTACTTAGTGCTTTCAACCAAACCACAAGTGCACAACCAGAGATAAAAGAGTAGATGTTACTGGTTAAACTTCCTTTTCAATGTGCCTTGGTGCTTCACTGAGCTGAGAAAAACAGCTTTAACTACTTAGCACCATGGTCTTGGAATGATTTAGAAAAACCTATTAACTTTGAATGTGTAGTGTCACTTTTTTATAAGTTGAAAAAAAAAAGTTAAAAGTGTGATGACTGAGAAATGTCTTTCATGAGAGATGCCACTGTAATTTTTTTTTGTGACTTTTAGTATTATTTGTGGGCTGCTACCTTGGCCAGGTATCTCTTATTACAGACATTCTCCTGTCTTAGACTCGTGATTAATAATAAAATAAATAATACAAGTAATTAAATGATAAATAAATAAATGATTTTAGCAGTCACAGAGCAAAACTGGCACAACCTGTACAGGAAGGAGTACAATACTAATACACATTGTGGACAGCATGTCCTAAATGAGAACACGTATTAATGCAATGCAAGTCAATATTTACTTAGACTTAATAACTATTTCTTTTGAAACAGACATCTGTATGTTTTGGGCCAGTGGAGTTAGGATCTTACCTCCAGTTTATGGTTGAGCTGGAAAACCGTCTGAGTTTTGTGGCAGAGTTGCGCGAAGCAGGAGCTGAGGGTGGTCATCTTCTGCCGGCCCTCGTACGTGATGTCCACCTGGTCCGGGTCGATCTCTCCCAGCAGCAGGTCCACATCCACGAAAGCTTTGTCGAACTCTTTCTCCAAAACCTCCAGCCAGCGGAAAATGCTCAGGCCCGAGCCGTGGCCCACCGGGGAGGAACCTGTCGAGGAGGCGGACATGGCTACAGTCTAACAGCGCACCGGGAGCAACTTTCCAACCGTATTCCTTTCACAGCTTGTCCCTAAATATGAAGATTTTCTGAACCGAAAGTGGACCGAGAGATCAGGTTTTACTACAAGCCCATTGTACAGTAAGATCGAAGTGCTGCGAACAGTCTAACTGCACCCGGAAGTCCCAAATCTGTCAGCAGCAGCAAACCAGGAAAGCCACAGCAGTCCTCAGCGCCCTCTGTCGGTATGGTTATGAAATGAATGAACCTCTGCCTGCGGGGGGCGCTTTTGAACAAAAAATAATAATAAAAAAATCTTAAATATACATTCAAGATTCAGTTTTTTCCTTGCATTTATTTACTCCCTTTTTATTCATTTTTATTTCCCCTTTTCCCTGTATTTATTTATTTAGTTTATCTATTACTTTATCTGTATTATTATTATTATTATTATTATTATTATTATTATTATTATTATTATTATTAGTAGTAGTAGTAGTAGTAGTAGTAGTATTAGTAGTAGTAATATTTTATTATATTTTTATTAATAATATTTTTATTATTAATTTATTTATTTACAATTATTTACAATGGGGGAGGATAATGGGACGGGGGTTTGACAGGGGGGTGATCACAATGTTTTTTATTTTTTCTGCAATACTTGCTTTATGTGCTACAAAAAGTTAAAAAAAAACAACAAAACAAAACAAAACAATATTTATTATATATATATATATATATATATATATATATATATATATATATATATATATATAATATTCAATGGATTAAACTGATGATGAAGTCAGTGTAAAATGTTGCTTTGTCCCATCTCTGTAAGAAAATTATATTATTTTACCTTTTTTTTGTTTGTTTTTTGAATATTGTTTTCACTATTATACTGATATTTAATTTTTCTCTTCTTAACTTTAATTTGGACTAAATCTGACATTACTGTTAATACTGCAGCATGAGGACACCTGCTGTGAGGTCTATGTACTGGAAAGACAGAGGTGATCAGCGTCAGTGTGGTCTCTGGAGGCACATCCCTGTTGCTTAGAAATGGTGTAGAGGCTGAGATTAAAGGTAGCTTCAAAGCTCTGGGCATGCTCCTTCCCCGCACTGACTGCATAATGAGTCCCCAAAGAGAGCAGCAACTCCCTATCACCGATGACAGCCCTGTCTCCTCGCTCTCCTGACCTTTATCAAGTCAAACTGGTTTTCCACATTTGTTTTTAAAGCAGAAATGTTGTCCACAGAGTAAGAAAAAGTGTCCCGGAGGTGCTCCCCATGACTCACTGGACCCCAACGACTACATATGTGCGAAAAGTGTGACGAAGCAACTGTGATGGAAAGTGCTCCCTTGTGTACAATTTACACGCATTTAACAGATGCTATGATGTAGAACTCATTAGAAAGATCATGACATCCTGGAAACACGAGCAACAGATCAAACAGGTATCTTCAGTTCTACTAGTTTGACAATGGAATAAAACGGAACTTCCATCAGTAAAAAAGTTAACATTTACCAACTTGATGAAAGGGAGTACTAGTTGAGTTAGTGAATTATTTTCACTATGAGCCTGAACTCGTAAGAAAAAACTTGCTTCAATGAATTTAGAACCTGCTTATCAATGTATTCACAAGTTAACCTATAATAAATCATATGTAACAGCATATGGGAGAGACCAATCACACAGACAGATTACCAATGTAAGAAATGTCTATCTTTATTACATTCAACAGTACAGTACACCAAAATTGCACATTTTCACCAGATATAGCAGCATTCTGACTGGCAATTCAAATAGGCACATCCATAACAATAAAATAAACTACACAAGTTCAAACTAAGTCATGGCCACTTTAGGAGCTTATTTTTATGCCTTTTTTCAAGACTCTGGCACTGTTGTTATGATGCTTGCTTACAGAAGAAGGGCCTATATCTATCAGGAACTAAAAGTACTGAAAACATCTATTGAGAAATTTGAGGTTGTATTCACATTTTGGTAACAGCCTACTCTATAATATATACAGTACATGACAAACCTTTCCTTGTGAAAAAGATCAGATTTAACTTCTCCACAGCCAAACTATCATTTTAGATTTCAAGTATTGTGGGTCATTTCCACAAGTACCGCAGTAATCAACATGTCTCAAAAATGTCTTCAAATACACTGTACAGTAGGCAATGTAATATTTAGATTTAAAGATTTTCACGTACAAAATAGGTAGATTATTAAATGCATACTTTGTATACATTTTCATAAATAGTTTCTTCTATGTTGAAATGACAAACAGTTGACATGTAGGCATGTCAAAATCTACGAATATAAAAAATGTTCTTCGTTCTTATCTGTACTTCTAATTCAGCGCCTTTTGGTCTTTGATGAGAAAAAACCTTCAATAACAAAATCACAAAGGCAGTTTTCCATATGTGCGTTAACAGTAGTAGGAGTCATATCAGTTAGTTAAACCACTGTGCGGTGCTCCCCGCACACATACACAGCACTGGGCTGGATGCGGCGCTTGGTATTTCCAGGAAGCTGAGGAAGAAACTTGACGTACTTGGGCATCAGATCGAGGCAGGCGTCACGAAACTTTTTAATCCTCCAGTAGTAGATGAGTGGGTTCAGGGCTGACTTGAGGTAGCACAGCCACAGCAGCCATGTACTGATCTGAAAGTAAGAGTCCTTGAAGTAGAATCCGTGGCTGAAGGTGGACATGAGGCTGTAGGCAGTGAAAGGCCCCCAGCACACGGTGGACACGGAGAAGAGGATAAGAATGGTGGCAAAGGCACGTGTCTTGAAGCTCATGTCGATGTTAATCTGAAAAGGCCTCTGCAGGCTGAGCAGCCCCAGTTTACTGGCCTGACTGAGGCACATGCTGTCACTGCGGCTGTGGATGCGGATGGCGTTGTGCCGGATAGTGTTCAGAATCCCCAGAAAGGTGTACACCATGACTGTGAATGGCACAAAGAAGAAGACTAGCATGAGGATGAGGACGTAGGCGTGGTACCCAGGCTCTGCACTGTAGCCAAACACACACTGAGGAGCTCTGGGGGGGCTTTGTAGTAGTGGGGAGCCCACAGCCAGAGGGAAAGAGAAAATAAAAGACAGTCCCCAGGTGAGAGCTATGAGCACTTTAGCTCTGTGAGGACTCAGCTTATCCTGCTTCTGCACGATGATCAGGAATCGGTCTATGCTTATTATAAGCAGAATAGCAATGCCCTCCATGAGAAAGAACCAGAAGAGCATGGCAGAAACTCGACAGAAAATGTCCCCAAATATCCAGCTGGTGGTTATCACTGTGACCAGGGCAAAGGGCATGTTGAGTATGGCCAGCATCATGTCGGCAAAGGCCAAGCTGGCCAGCAGGATGTTAATGGCCGAGCGCATGGCTGAGCGCTGATACACCATCAGACACACAACCACGTTCCCCAACAGCGCCACCAACAGAATAATCACCATGACTGCACAGAAGAAAATCTGCAGAGGCAGCCCCAAGCCCTGGAGGCTTGAAGGGGGCCCTGTGGGGGACACTGATGTTAAAGTCCAAACTCGGCTAGTATTGGCCATGGAGACGCTATCCATGGGCACATCAGAGAGGTTTAACATGGCTCTGACCAGGCAGCACACACTGTGGTTCCTGGGGCCCTCCTGTGGGGGCCCAACAGCAGTGGAGTGAAGCATGACTGCCCCGAATCAACAGGCATCCTCTCAGCACAGGACCAAGCTAACACATGACTGTGAAGGCCACTGGTTCAGAAGAGCAGCTCCATGTCCAGATTCCGGGCCTGAAACACAAACGCAATAAACTGCTGAATAATATTAACATTTTGCAATTACATCATGACATTGATTGCTTTTTCTCTGGATAACCTTTGGCAGGTTACTGGCAGAACAAGGGTAATGAGTACATTACTATGCAGCATTCATTTGCTGAACCCCCAATAACAATTTTATTTCCTCCTCTATTACCAGTAACATAAGTCTCCATCTGGCACAAATGCATCTATAAAACCTTATCACTCCTGTGTAAACACGGCCTGGATCACTGAGTGGCCAGTGGTACATTAATGCGTGTGCTAAAATAATGATAACAAAAACACATTTCAGACTGAATCAGTCCTGATAGTTTGAAATATGTGGGCGGTAAATTCAGGTAAACATTATTACAGCAAATTATGTGTAATGGAGACATGCAGATAACCCGTGCATACCACACATTTAACTCTTTAGTGCTATTTTCACTGGAGAAATTAAACAAAAATAAATAAATAAATGAATAAATAAATTTAATAAAGCACATTTTAAAAGATAGAAACTAATTAAAACACATAAGATTATAAATGATCAAAGTGTATTCAAGTGTGTTGATTAAATTTAAGTCAGTTGAAAAACTTGGTTTGTTAAGCTATACAATCTGACAATTTAACAGTACTTTTCAACATCCTCTTATTCCACTTAAAAGAAGAAAACATTCAAATATCACCTAACACCTCATATTCTCTTACTGCCCTGCAAAACAGCAGTCATTAGGTTGTAGCACACACACTCCTTTGACTACTTTTGAAGAACATTTGCTGAAACCCATCTCTCATATCCATTTGAGGATTTTAACCTTGGACACTTTTGCAAAATGTGGCTGCAAACATTTAGGCCTTTTTAACAATATTTTTAAGAAGAAAGGTAGGCCTAAATTTGAACACAGAATTCATTTGGCCTTCGATATATTTGAGTTCGGATTTGTCAATGTTAATAGTTTGGTCTTCATTAAAACATGTGTGACAGGCCTACAGTGTGCACAGAAAACTAAATCGTCATATGGCCTACGGTAGCCTACAATCAATGAGTATTTCGGGCTCAATCCCACTGTCTGAGGAGCATCTGCAAGATCCCAACAGCTGGAACGCATATGAGGAACTAGCATCCGCAACACGTTTGGTTACATAAACATATTTTAGATAGCGTCTGGTGATAAGATCCATGGACCATGATGATCGTGCTACTTACATGTTTTTGCCATGTTGTTGATATCCGACAGCAGCTGTGTGGTTTTACACCAAACGATACATCGGTTCGTTTCACAGCTCGCCTTTCTTTTTCGCAGAAGCGCAGACAGAAATAATGGGTTTTACGCAGTACGGAGAGAGTATCTTGACTTCGCCTCTGTATCCATGGATTTTTCCGATGCCGCAGACAGAGGTGTTCCCACCTACACACATGGAGACCGAGGGACAGCCGCATTTAAACGGCTTCTTTGTCCACAACGAAGCTCCGGAGAAGAAGACATCATGCACAAATGTTTAGAGAAGGCGCATCCTCCTCCGCTTTCTCCCTGGTTACTGCTTCAGGAACATCTGCGTGCGACAACACGAGAGGACTTCCACCGTTTGATCTCTGAATGAACCTGGAACCAAAAATCACAACAAAAACTACCGAAAGGAAGTGCACACAACATGACTTCCGATGAGCTCTTTCAGAATAAACTAATCTGGACAATTTTTGGGAACGATTACTCTGCCCTTTTCTCATTTGATTTCTACACTTCGATACTGTTCAGGAACCTTATTGTACTGTATGGTTCTTAAAATAGATAATCTAAAAAAATAATAATGAAAAAATAAAATCCACTGTTTTTTAACCTACTCCAATTATGGGCATCTCTTAATGCATGCATGTATTATGTACATACATATTGGATTGGTATTCATTGCATTACTGTGCATTTTCATGAAGAACAAATTAAAAATGGAAATGGAAAATCAGAGCCACCAAATCGATCCCACAAAGATCTGCCAGTGAAGAATATAATGTGCTTCCATTTCATGATTTTGTAGTGTCATTCAGCATGCACAACCCAGTTATAACCAAATGCTGCAACAGCAGCAGATGATTAAAAGATGTACAATTTTAACAATAACTTGAATAAAATAAATAATTAACAAATGTGCTTCTGCTCGCAGCCTAACCATGGGTTACTAGGACCATATGTCTTCAATTACTTAGTGGTTCTCAAATTATTTACAGCAAGTACCCAAATCCTTTCAGAGAAACACCATCCATGACTTTACCAGGTCTCTAAAACTGGCCTAAAATAAGACCAACCAGTCAAAAGAATCAGACAACTCCCCCCAGTACCTTAAAGAACTCCTCACTCCCCAGACCCCCTCACGCACCCTCCGCTCTGCAGCCACCAACACTCTCCAAACCCCCAGAACCAAACTTTGCACCATGGGAGATCGGGCCTTCTCCTCTGCTGCTCCAAGGCTTTGGAATGCTCTCCCCGACCACCTGAGAGCCCCACAATCTATTTCTGTTTTTAAACAAAATCTTAAAACATACCTTTTTACTAAAGCCTTTTGTTAATTGTATTTTATTCTTGTTTTATCTTATAAATTCCTGCACTGGTTTTAGCTTGATCCACTGTTTCTGATGCACCTTTTTACTCATTGTTTTTACCTGTAGCACTTTGAGATTATTTTATGTAAAGTGCAATATAAATAAAATGTATTATTATTATTATTATTATTATTATTAATAATAATAATAATAGATAAGTAGTAAAGGATTAAAGGAAGACAATAAACAAGTGCACAGGGCACCACAATCCACCAGAGGCAGCCCATGCATGCACTACAGCTTCAGAAACAGCAACTGGTGGATTAAATTGCATCTTGGACACACAAACTTTCTGTAAAGGTATTATAAGAGTTGATATGGACCACAGAAGAAGAAGGAGAAGGTTAGCTGGACAGTTTTAGTGATTATCTGTGTGCAAAGTTGTTATTGTAAGCCAGATCATAGAGTTACTGGATCATTTAAATTTTAGTGTCATTTGTAGAGTTATGTAAAGTGTAAGTACGTATTTTAAACAATATTAGTATTAGAGCCCGACCGATATATCGGTTGGTCGATATTATCGGCCGATATGGGCAACTTTAGGTATATCGGCTATCGGCCGATATGCTTGCTGATAGGGGCCGATATTTCACGTGGGCATGTTATACCTCGTTATAAAGCTTAGACTCTCTACATTCTGTTCATTTAATCCAATTTACAGACAGATAAATGTCCTAATATGTGGCTCCACATCAGTATTTATCTACGGAATCATTTGTCAGCGTGTGTGTCTGTACTGTCCCTGAACACACCACAGAGTCGCGTCACTCACGTGTGTTTGTTTACACCTGCAGACACAGATCCAAACACTGAGATTATATTCTTTTTACGGACAATCGGTTTGAGTCTGGATTAAAAGGACATTTATTAGTGCAGATTTGTGATGTGAGGAGGAGCCTGTGTGAGCGGTGAGTGTTGGAAATATGTCGACTCTGAAGCTAGTTTTTGTCATTTGTTATGGCTTAACTGCTGTAGCTCCCGCACATAAACAGGCTGTTTTCTATTGGTCTGTTCTAAAGTGACTATATTGGCCGTATATTTGTTACTGGACCTGCACTGATATGTAAATGAGCTGTGAATAGAGGTGTGAATTATGACATTTGCGCATATAATTAATTACCGCGGCGCGCACGTATTTACGGTTAAAGGCTAATAGCGCTACTTTCTTTACTAGTTATGGGTCCGTCGCGGCCGAAATGACTCTTAGAACCGGCTCTTTGAAGGGAACGACGGGAGCCTGATCCTTATTGGGAGCCGTGTTTTCTCTTTCTCTCACTTTTTTTTCTCTTCACGCCGCGTGCAGATTCGTGGTTTGACAGCGGCAGCGGCTCAAAACGAAACTTTGAGAAATTTGCGTGTACGTAGGATTAAAAAAAATAAAAATAAAAAAACGAGCATATTTGACTGTAGTTTAGCATAAAATAAATAAGTCCCGGTTAAGTCATTTTTCAGTCCTGGTTTAGACCTGGTTCAGTCCTGATTCAGTCCTGCTTTAGACGTGCTTTAGTCCTGCTTGCAACAAAACAATCTGAAGAGCCACTTGGGAGCCAAAAGAACCAGCAGCTTTTAGTGAGCCGAGCCAAAAGAGCCGGTTCTCTAAAAAGAACTGGAATACCCATCACTAGTGTCTAGAATGTGATGCAAAAATGCCATTAAGTCAACCTACTGTCTGTAAATATGATGTAAAGAGGCAGAATAACAATAAATGTTGCCTAAATAAACCCAATTTAAAATCCACCAGAGCCAAACCTAAGTTTTTTAAACAATTCAACATTTACAGTGAATTTTTACATCACTAAATATATCGGTGATTATATCGCCTATTGGCAGCTCCAACTTCCATTATATTGGTTTCATATCGGCCACAGCAAAATCCATATCGGTCGGGCTCTAATTAGTATTTTAGTTTAGTTAGTTTTTGTAATTAGCCCATTTACCACCACATCACATCCACAGTGCATGCGACAGGGCAGTTAAGAAGGGCGCCTTTGACCCTTACTTCAAATCGTTCAAATTATGCTATGGTCTATAAAGTCATACAGATAAACCAAAGGATAACTAAACCAAAGGACCTATATAAAATATCCATTGTATTTATTTCTTCATTTAATTTATTAAGAGTTCATAAATATAAAGCTAGTAAACACTACAGTGGTATCCAGTGCTATGAATCGGTGATGCGTTTAGTCTGTGCATTGGTGGGAGGAATGATCTGGACTCTGAAGGGACAGAAGAAGTTCAGTAGAGCCTTGCAGTCCCTCAGCTCCAGACTGTAATGCTGGGCAATCTTCTCTGCGGTCCATGTTTGGGGCTGCTGCTGGTGACTGCTTAGGGCCTTCAGAGCCTCAGCCAGGGTCAGTTTGCCTTTGGGGACGTCCGTGAGCTCCATCAGACCCAGCTGCTCCAAGGGGACACTGTACTGCAGGGGGCGTCGCTCTGACTCTGCTGCCTCCTCTGCCTCCTCTCTGGATGACTGTAATAAAATGGAGATGAAGATCTGTTTGTGTCATCAACATACCCATGCAATGCAAATCACAAACCAGCACGTTTTTCTTACCGTTCCTGTGCCAACATGCAGTCAAAGTCTTAATAAGTCAGATATACCTCTTGAAATTTGAGTCTTTCACATTCTATAATTTAATGATATTGTAATTTCAAGCACAGCAGGGTCTATGTACGCACTCTGAGGACCTCAGCGACCCGCCTCCTGCTGGTGCCCAGAGTCAAGACTAAACACGGAGAGTCAGAGTTTCAGATTCATGGAGCTAAAACCTGGAACAGTCTTTCTGAAGATGTGAGGCTGGTCTCTATTTTGACTCTGTTTAAATCCAGGCTCAAAACAGTTCTGTTTAGATGTGCATATTAGTGAAAGGTTTTTATTCTGAACTCTTCTCTCTCATTTAATGTCTCCCTCTTGTTTTAATTTTATTATGATTATTTATGTTTTGGTTTGTTTGTTTGTATTGTGATTTTAATGTATTTATTATTCTGTAAAGCACTTTGAATTACTTAGTGTACAAATTGTGTTATACAATTACAAAATACAAACTTGCCTTGACTATGTAACTCTATTTTAGACTATTGTACTGAACGCCATATCAGTAAATATCTGATCAGTAATTATGATTAGTAACTACTACAAGAGTTCTGCATGCAATGAAATAATAACATAACAACAACATTATGGGATACAGTGTGGTAGGGGTCAGTGAGTGTCCCAGTCTGACCTGCGGAAGTTCTGCGGGGTCAGTGGACTCCACATACAGAGAGCGCAGATGATCCAGCAGAGGGGCATTCTTCTCATTTAAACCTCCAGTAGCTGCAAGACGATAAAAACAACAACAAATGCCATTTTAACTTGGAGTTATAATCTCAGGTCATAGAAAATAAGGCGTCTGTGACCATAGGCTCTACGGCTGTGACTCTGCTCCTCACCTTCAGAGGATCCCGGGACGGAGGCAGCGGTGTCCGGGTGTCTGGGCGCAGCTCGCGGCTTGTCACGGGAGATCTCTCGGTGGACTCGGTTCTCCAAGTTAAAGTTTCGGAACATGCGAGCCACACGGGCGCCCATCGTTGACTGTCCTCCACATCCAAACAGCAAAACAGCACCGCACGCCGCTTACGCAAAACGACGGGAAGCGAAGAGGCTCACTGCTAATTTCCGCTTTCAGACACTTACAGCGCCACCTACTGCCCTGGAGGCTCATTGCGTGGCCAATGGGTGTGTTAAAAATTCATTAAAAACATATGGCCTTAATAATGTTTGGCACTATAGTACAATTTCAATTTTAATTGGTTGGATTTGTACAGGGTTACATCCCAGGCCCAATGAACTAATCACATATTTCAAGACTAAGTAAACATATGAGTAGGCAATGTTCTTTACATGATTCTAGATCTAATGACCTACAGCCATCGACCGTATAAAGAAGAGTTCATGCCAGTACCTCAGCTAAAAGTTCATTCATTCCTATTCAGTGTCATGCTTAAAAATCTGTAGAATCAAATCCGTAGTATTAAAAATGAAAAACACCCACTCAAGAGAAATGGTTTACAATGTTTAAATGTGTCCAGCAGATGGCAGCATTTCCTGTTCTTTTCTTTCTATAAGAACTATATTATGCTTCCATGATGAGCAGAGCCTTCTGAAGCTACAGAGTATGAACACCAAAATTTCATTAGACCTTATACTAAAGATGTTGACAATATGTATTTTCACAGCACGTTCCTCCCATTTGATATAAAATGTTTTTTTTTTCTTATGGCTCTTGAGGACAGTAGCCTATTTAAAGCTGACCTATGTAGTTTGATGGTGGAGCTGAAGTCATGTCGCTCCTAATGAACACATCAGCAGTAAAACTACCAACAGCAGAGATATGACTTTAATCTGATATGTTTGATTACAAGAACCTGCTTTCAAAGGGTCACCAGCTGCCCTAGTGATAAAGCTCACGGAGAACAGACACAGTTTTCATGAAATATTTTTTATACAAAATAATTGCAATATATTTTTCCACCACCAAACTTTTAAACTATCACATTCAACCACAATTTACATTACAGATTGTCTCAAAGAGTGGAAAAGGGGAGCAGGAAACCTAGAGGAAGAGCAGAGGTTAACACTGGGAGTGGAAGCAGAATGGGTAGAGGAAGAGCAGAAGTTAGCACTGGGATTGGGAGCAGGAGAGGTAGAGGAAGAGCAGATGTTAGCACTGGGAGTGGGAGCAGGAGGAGTAGAGGAAGAGCAGGATGCAGCTGTCGATGAGGAGGATGCTGTAGAAGTAGCGGTGCGTGTGTAGACTGTGTCCTCCCTGGAAGCGTGTCACCAGCACAGCCAGCAGCAGGAAGAATGTGCCTGTGTTCATGAGCAGGAACAGTCTGATGTAGAGCCCTGTGTGGGTCAGAGCCTGGGCCTGTGTTCCAGTGTTCACTTCAGAGACTTTAAGCCGTGGTCTGGCAAAGCCTCCCTTTTTATTAGCGTAGTCTACAAAGAGATGGGAGTCCACATTGCTCTCAGGATTGTCCTCATAAACACGACGGAACGTCCTTTGTCTTTCTTTTTTCTCACTTAATTCAATCTGTGCAAATATATCAGGTAGATTCTCTGGCAGCTTATCTCCCAGGTTCAGTCTCCTGCCATTTTTCCCACGCTCTTGTTTCTTTGACTTGGCAAACATTTTTTCAATAATTCCCTCAGTTTTCTTTTTGTCTGAGAATTGCAGAAGGCGTTCTGCTGTCTTCCTGAAGGTGGCACTATTGAGCACTCTGCCCAGGATGTGCCTCTCCATCTGCTGGAACACAGGCTTGACATGCTGAAGGTTGTCTTCCACCAGGTTCACATACTCCTCCACCTCTGCAGGAGAGCGCTCTGCCTGAGCCATTGTTCTCTCAAACACCACTTTCTGGTGCCCACTGAGGATCATGGCATATAGGGGGCTTGAGGGCACCTCCCCAGTTACCAGATGTACTGTGTACGTCTGCTCCTTTGTGGACAACCGAATATCCAACCTCTGATCATCCCCACGCACTTTTAAGGAGTTTAACTCCACTCCAGGACCGAACAGGGCATATACCATCCTAGAGAAAGGGTAGCGTAGTGGCGCAGTCACATTCACATAATTAGACCCATTATAGCCAAAGTTTGATGGGTACTTCCAGAAGCCCACAGACCCCTTGTTGCTGAAGCCAGTGTCATCCATCCAGAACATCTTGTACCTGTCATTCTCATGTCTGACAAAGGCTCCATGCAGAGGGCCCTTCCTGATCCCACTAAAGGCCAGCTCTGTGTTGTGAAAGAAAGCACTCATGGCTCTGCTGGGGCTATCCTCAGCCAGAGCAAAGTGGTCCACGAGCAGAAGAAGCTGGGGGTGCAGGAGCAGCAAGTTCCTCTGGAAGCTGCGCACCTTCAGCTCAGGGTTATACGCAGCACTGCCCTCTCCGCGGACGAACACCATGCCCTGCCTGTGCATGGCCACCTCCACCTGACCCTGAGTGTCAGCCGCCTGCCCGGTCTTATACTTAAGCCACTTGGAGTCGCAGGATTCTGTGATCTGTCCAGCCCAGGGCTTAAAGCAGGCCCCTGGAACATCTGATCCAAACAGCACTGCATTGTTTAACAGAGTGTACTTTGGCCCATACAGAGCTTCAGTGATGAAAGGCACTCCATTGGGTGCAAAGGTGAAAGAATTCTGGTCTGGGTGCTCATGGCCAGCGTTAAAGTTCCTCCAGCCTTTCACCCACTCCTTGTACTTGTTCTTGTGAACTATATCATACATGGCATGGCCGCCCAGTTTCCCTGACTTGAAGGAGAGGAACGTTGAGTTGATCCTTGCCGGCAACGCACTTCCATAGGTTACAACCCCCCAGTCCTCAAAGTAGTGGAGCTGTGATGTGCCATAGTCTGGTGGAGGGGTGGGGGAGAGGCTGGGGTCATACCTGAAATAAACAAGACAGAACAGTTATGAAAGATAGTTTATATAAGTTCATATGAGGACTTTAGGTAGCATGGGCATAAGAAGAGATTGTTAAGACATGTAGCAGGCTGAATGAATGAATAACTAATTCAAAAGGAGAAGATAAACTACCGGTATATATTACATCTGGGGTAGATGAATTTCAAACCATAAAAGTATGTATTTAAATCTGTCTGTGCTGTTCTATGTACTTTTAAAATATTTATTTCAGACCGCAAAGTGTACCAGAGGTGGACCATCAATCTGCTCTCATTCCAAAACCTATTTTAGCGACATATTGGACTTTTTTATCTCATTTGCAATTGATAAAATGTTTTACAACAGCAGTTTGATTTTGTCAATTAGTGCTTCTTTTACAGTATACTCGATGGTAAAATTGCAGCTCTAACAAAATTGTGATCACATATGCCAGACAAAACAAAATATTGGCCCATGATGTGACTGACCAGATGAACTCAGTATGCAGAGTGCACCAGCGTTGGCTCTTTGCGGGCTGCCCAGGCCCTTCAGTCACTCGGTTCTGACGGATCCTCTGTGCCAGCCAGTTCCCACTGCCATTACGCAGCACATATCTGTCCAGAAACACCAGCTGGCTCTCAGGGCCATAGAACCAATTATAGTTGGAATCAGCAATACCCACAGTCCTCTGGAATCCTGCACATGGACAAAGCACAATGACAATAATGAGCAGAAGAGAAAATAAATCTATATGTCATTACTGCCTTACTGTATGTAAGGTGAGTTTGCTGCTATTAAGTTAGGCAGTTTGTTGACAAATAATTAGACCTAGAGAATAAAAGAATATGCTTCATACTAAATACTAATATTTATGACAGTATAACTTAGTCCCACATTCATTCAACTATTTGCCATGAGCTTTTCTAAATATTGCTGGTCATAGTACAAATATATAAAATCGTGCAACAGTGGCATAGTGGGTTAAGAATTCCTAGTGGAGGGTCAGCCAAACATCATTGTGTCCCTGAGCAAGACACTTTCCCAGACTACATATTCCACTCATTCTTGGTCAAGATTCGTAAGCTTTGTAACCCCCACTTACAATTTTAAATTCCCAAGATATGAAATAGATAGTTAAAACTCATTCAAATCTATACCAACGTGCACAGTTACCTGGCAGAATAGTTCGGTAGAGGAAGGCAAAGTGCTGGAGGAGCCAGGGGTGATGGAAGTGGCTGATGGAGAAGTGTCTCTGCACTAAAAACATGTACTGGAACAGAGAGCGGGTGGTGTAGCTCCCATAGGCCACACCTTCATCCAGAGAACCATCAGTGATCTCCTGTAATATCACCAAGGACTTCTCCATGATGGACAGCACCTGCTTGGTCCACAGGTATGCCTCCTGGAGATAACCTGCAACAGAAGAAAACACACTATAGCAGTTTTTGGACAAGCTCTTTTTACACTGCATTATGCCTTCATTTTTCAGTTGATGGTGAAAAGAATTGATGGTGTCTCTGACAGTCACCAATCACTCATTCACACCCCAGATTCAAACAATAGTCTCAGTGGGTGTCTTGCTCAAAGACCCTACCACAATAATTATTTGTGGAGGTTGTGGTCAGGGTCAACCTTGTTTAGACCTGTTTATTGTTTCATTGTTTCACATCATACTTCTACCACAAGTCACAAACTTTGCGTTCCTACTAGGCAACTGAACAATTGGAAAAACATGTATTCCATTTTCCATGTCCTTGTCCATTGTCCATATTGAAAAATGTATAAACATACAGAGGTTAGGTTCCTGAGTATGGGGTGGAAAGAGTGAGACAATAATATGATTGCTGAATAGATTTACACTGCGCTTTCTTTATATTTTAATTGTATTGTGAGGATGGTCCTATATGGATATCTTTAGTTCACAAATTAACTTTTTACTATATATATATATAATATATATATATATATATATATATATATATATATATATATATATATATATATATAAATTGTATATTTATCTGGGATATAAAATCATGTGTTGTATGATTTTGTAGCCATAACATATGTAAACATTTTTCGCCCTATTGCTCTTCTATTTCTATTGTAAAACACTAGTCTGTTCAAAAAGACACATCTGAGGACAAACTGGGAATAACGCAAGGGCACACACAGACAAGAGGCAGCTTTGAAAAAAAAAAAAAAAAAATTCAATTCCAAATATCAACAAACA